CAAGATTAAAGAAGATACACACACAATTAAACTACATGGTATATGGTATAAGGTAGAGAAGAAATGGAAGATGATTTCATCACAAACTTACAACAGCTTTTAGCTCAGTTTGTGCTTTCACTAATTCTTTAACAACCTCATCTTCATCATCAGAGCTGTCCCTCTGTGACTAACAGGAACAAAAAAGAAGGACATTATACTATGCTATTGTACAGTCATGTTCATCATACTTAATTGGGCAAAGCCCACTAAGACGAGAAAACGTTTGTATGGGGATAGGGTTGTTTAACTATAATAAAGTTAAATGGCCTAATCATTATTGAAAGTGGGTATGGTCACAATGAAATAAAAATGGAGGCTATCAGTAAATCTGTGCTCATTTGCAGCAAATGCTTATTATAAAACTAAACTGCTATCCGAAGACTTCTCTAGCAGCAAACAATAGTGTGGCTGAGGGCTGAGCCTCTTCAAATGTTTTACATTCTTCTAGTTTACTATTATTATCTAAAAGTGATTGCTTACTTCAGGTGGGTCCAGTAGTCCTAGTGTTACCAGTTCCTCTTTTAGTCTCCTCTCAAGAGCAGCTGGTGAAATAACTGTTGAAGAGAAAGAGTCCGCTTTACCGGAAGAAAATAACTGAGAACCATGAGGAGAATCAATGAACGTCTGAAAATAAAATAAAGATAATAATAATAATAATAATAATAATAATAATAATAATAATAATAATAAATAATAATAATAATAATAATAATAATAAATAATAATAGATAATAATAATAATAATAATAATAATAAATAATAGATAATAATAATAATAATAATAATAAATAATAGATTATAATAATAATAATAATAATAATAATAGTTTATAATAAAAGGTGACATACTGCCATTAGTTTCTGGGTGAGTGGTCCATAGCTAGTGCATGTATTGGATCTATTAGCAGTCATTCCTTCATTGAATAAAATATCTAAAAATAATACAAAATTAATACTATTCCTACAGTACATAATAACGTATAGTGGAAAAATTTGGAGGGAGTCAAATTTGGTAAATTGCTAAATTTTGGTGATTGGTTAATTTTAATTTGGCAAATTAGTGGCCACGTGCCATTCAGCATGCGTGTAATGGCTCAAAATGGTGGATCTTATTTTGGCAAATGGCTATCAAAACACCAAATTCACCTAATTTAATTCCCTCCAAAATTTCCCACTATACGGTACCCTCTCTCTTCCTCACTGGTTTCATCTTGTAGGTCTTTAGTTAGTCCAGAGTGGAGTCTAGCAGTCTCTGTTCCTTCTTCATTCAGCTCCTCCATCAGCCACTGCTGACTGTAGTGCTGCCCTTGACTGGGTATCTCAAATAAACTCTTGTCAAAATTCTAAACACAAAATTAAATAAAATAAGAGTAATGCGGATATTCTTTAATGATGCATGTGTAGTAGTTTTATTTTTAATAATTTCTTACATTATCTTGTGCTTGAAGATTATGCAAATCATTCTCCGTTATGTCAGCAAAGTACGGTTCCAGTGAAGCCCAAAATTTATCAGCCCCCTCAGTTTTAGATCTAAAAACAAAGCAAAGAAAATAAAACTACAACATTTTAATGAGACTATTATCATATGATTATTAATTTAGTTACATGTATATACAATTTATGCTGGAATACACTGTACATATACATGTACATGTACATACATATACATGTAGTTAAATTCTAACTATTATAATAAATTATATTAAGAGGATTTTAGTTAGAACTTAGATTATAGTCAGGTAAAATGAGGCAATTTGATTGGTCAAATGAGGTAATCTAAGTAGCTTAGTTACCTCTTAATAACTTCTTAGATTACTTGTTAATAACCATTATTAATTTATAATAATAAAATTGTTATTTTTATTGAATATTTACAGTCAAATTTGTGCAGTTACTGAAAGCAATTCATGGTTCACCTCCATCGACATTTAAAATTTTGTTTGTTGAGTATTTTGAATGTTCGCTATCTGATATCTGAATCATTTGTTCAGCTGTGATGTCCTCTTGTAGCTTCTCACTCCATCGATACTATCAGTGGTGACCAGTGCGTTCCATCAGTTATCAGTTGTTGGTCAACACCTTATAAACGGGTCACTGCAGTTGCTTGTAAAGAATGATTAGTTTTGACTCCTTTTATTCCTCCCATTTCAAGCATTGTTTTTGCCATCATACCATTGTTTTTTGTTTTGTTCATTCAAACATTGTTTTGTTCATTATAGATACCACACACCATGTGGTATAGTATTAGGAACATAACTGAGTTCAGTGCCGCCGGTCTTTTTTCCTCACTTCCAGGACAAACATTTCCATAGATTTTGCTAGCTCTTTGCGACTGAGAGACATAATAGACGGAGTTTCATCAAGTTGTAGCTTCCACCTACCTGTATACCAATTATTCCATTGGTTTATGCACCAATATATAATTGTTTCTGCCCTCGTTTTTTGCCGGTTACGGATGCCAGCACTCGCTGGTTTGCGATAGTGTATCTTTGTCCTTGTACTGTTTGCTGCAGAGCCCTATAACAGGACAGGCTAGTATTGTAGAAGACCGTCATTGCCGAGTGACATCTTTGTCGGACCTAGCTAGTTT